TACGACCATTTCGACTTACGACCGGTTTCTCGGATCCAAACTCGGTCGTAAGTCGGATGGTAGGTGTATATAGACAGAGATACAGATACAGTAATACATATATATATACAGATAGACAGTAATACAGATATATATACAGATAGACAGAGATATAGATAGACAGATACAGTGAACCCCCGGTTATCGGTAGGTTTAGCTATCGGCGGGGTTTCGGCGCCCAGTTATCGGCCGTTTGCTCGGTTATCAGCCATTTTGGACACATCCATCCACCGGCTGGGGCAGCTTACGCTTCAGTTTGGCTTTGTCTCTCGGTGGCTGAGGAAGCTTCTGCTCATACATCCAAACATTTCGCTTGTTTACCATTGTTTTTAGTGGTTTTTCTTGCAGTGCAACTGTGAAATAAGTAACCATGGCTCCAAAGAAAGTTCCTGGTAAAGTTCCTGTGGTAAAGAAAGTGAGAAACACCATGGAATTCAAGTGTGAAGTGATAGAAAAGTTTGAGAGTGGTATGGAGGTGGTGGAACTTGCCAGGATGTACTGCAAGAATAAATCAACAATTACATCCATCCTGGCAAAGAAAGAACAAATCAAAGACGCTAATGTTGCAAAGGGAGTAGCTTTTCTAACTAAACAAAGGACATCGATTAATGGAAGAGATGGAAAAATTATTATTATGGATTAAGGAAAAAGAATTAGTGGGAGACAGTGCTGTGGAGTCGATTATTTGTGAGAAGGCAAAGCAGTTGCATGAGGATCTTGCAAAGAAAATGCCTTGAACAAGTGCTGCAGTTTGTGAATTTAGGGCCAGCAAAGGATGGTTTGATAGATTTAAGAAGCGTAGTGGCATACACAGTGTTGTAAGGCATGGTGAGGCTGCAAGTTCTGACAAATGTGCAGCTGAAAAGTATGCTCATGAATTCCAGGACTATGTAAAGGCTGAAGGATTCAAACCCCCAACAAATATTCAATTGTGACGAAACAGGCCTGTTTTGGAAGAAAATGCCAACAGGACCTACATTGCCCAGGAGGAAAAGGCACTGCCAGGACACAAGCCTATGAAAGACAGGCTTACTCTTTTATTGTGTGGCAATGCTATAGGGGATTTCAGAGTGAAGCCTTTACTCGTGTATCACTCAGAAAATCCCAGAGTGTTCAAGATAAACAATGTCATGAAGAATAGATTGTGTGTGATGTGGAAGGCTAATCATGAGGCATGGGTCACAAGGCAAATTTTCAAAGAGTGGGTTAATGATGTGTTTGGCCCAAGTGTGAAAAAAAATATCTCATTAAAAAGAAATTGCCACTCAAGTGCCTCCTGGTACTGGACAATGCTCCTGCACATCCTCAAGACTTGCAAGACCAAACGTTTAGGGATTTCAGTTTCATCACAGTGAAGTTCTTGCCTCCTACCACCACTCCTCTCCTCCAGCCCATGGACCAGCAGGTCTTTTCTAACTTCAAAAAACTCTACACAAAAGCAGTGTTTCAAAAGTGCTTTGAAGTGACCTCGGACACTCGGCTGACCCTAAGAGAGTTCAGGAGGAATCACTTCACTATCCTCCATTGCATAAGCTTTATAGGTAAGGCTTGGGAGGGAGTGACTTCCAGGACTTTGAACTCTGCTTGGAGAAAACTGTGACCAAATTGTGTCCAAGAGAGGGAATTTGAAGGGTTTGAGGCTCACTTTGGCCCTGACCCAGCCGACCCTGTGGACTCTATTGTGGAACTGGTGAAGTCCCTGGGGCTGGAGGCGAGTGGTGAGGATGTGGAAGGGTTGGTGGAGGACCACAGGGAAGAGCTGACCACTGAAGAGCAGCAAGAGCTTCAAACTGAACAGCAACAGATTGCAACTAAGGAACTTGCTTCAGAGGAGGAGGAAGAGGGAGTGAAGGAGGTGCCTTCTTCATAGATTAAAGAGGTGTGTGCAGTGTGGACCAGGGTGCAAGCTTTTGTAGAGAACCACCACCCTGACAAAGCTGAAACAAGCTATATCTGCAAAAAAGTTTAGTGACAAAACCCTGTCCCACTTCATGGATATCTTGAAGAGATGCTAGAAACAGAGCACTCTGGGCAGTTATTTTGCAAGGCAGGGGTCCAGTGACTCTCAAGCTGGTCCTAGTGGCTACCTAAAGTCTTCATGGAGGGGGGATTCCCCTTCCAAACACTAACTCCTCCCTATCTTCCAGAAGCCAGCATTAGCCTTCAATAAAGCTATGTAATACTTACATAGTTGTAAAATTTTTTTTTTTTTTTGTGAATATTTTTGTTTGGAACGAATTAATTGTATTTCCATTAATTCTCATGGGAAATATTAATTCGGTTATTGGCCGGCCTTCAGGAATGCATTACGGCCGATAACCAGGGGTCCACTGTATAGACAGATATATAGACAGACAGGAGGAGGCATGGCGTCTGACCTAGTAGCACAAGCTAGTCAGGTCCAACTCACACCCACTCATACATTTATTTAACCTATTTTTATTTTCCTCTTAAAATGTGAGTGTTAACATGACATGACATCGGTGAATCACTGGTGTTTGCCACACTATTTGCTTTAGCTGGCGCTCAGTTGAACTGGTGCTCCCACAAGGTACTAAGTGGTCCCCGATTTTTTTCACAGTGCGCACACTGAGTGCACAAACCCATTCTTTCATGTCTAGGCTAATCAGGCCTATCGCACCAAATTTGAAGGAATGAAAAATAAAACATTGATATATGTTCGGAACGCTGCGCACATGTACGTATATCTACATGGGGACAGTTTAAGGGTTAAAATAATACAGTGTATATGCTGGTGCATGGAAAACCATATAATTACCAGTGAGTGGTAAAAATATTCAAGTGAGTTTTCCTGACAACACAGATAATAAATGTAAAACTCCATCAAACTTTTCAAGAAATTTAGATTTTTTAACAACATTTTTGGCCTCTTAGCTTTATCTAATACATGATTTGCATGCTTACATACCATACTTAACAGGAGAATAAGAATATGAATTCATGAACACCAATATTTATGTGATTTGTATTTAAAATTGCTTTGTCTTGTGAACTTTTGCTTGAAAAATTGCCTTAGATTTTTCATAGTTGGTAATAACAAACTTCACAACACCTCCAGCTAGAACTCTAGAAATAACCCATCAATCGACTAGTGCATAGAAAATGCAGAACACATATTAAGAAAACTAGATCTATTTTAGAGAAAAGTTGTAACCTTATAACTAGCATACAGCATGTAGACATCCTTTTCACCCTTTGACTGTCGCAAGCTGCTTTCTGAAACTCATTCTATGTCGAAAAAATTTTGGAAGAAAAAAAAAAAATCATGAAATGACGGAGAATCTTTTTCCGATGGTAATGATGCCAAAAGTATGAAATTTGGTCGAAAACTCACAGAATTATGCTCCCGTGAAGTTAGCGATTTCGCCGACTTTGAGCCCTGTTTCTGGCCAATTCCATTGTTCCAGCTGACCAAACTCATAGCTATTTCTTTAGAACTCCATGTTTTCTATCAACCGAGTACAAGAAACTGCCCATTTACCAATTTGAACTACCCAATAAAGTGGTCAGAAAATGGCAATTTGGCCAATTTTACACAAATTAAAAAAGATGCCAATTCAAAATAGGGTCCAAAATAAACAATGCAGACATTCTTAGCACTAAAATAACATATCCTCTGTTCATTAGTCACGTCTCTAGGCCCCTCTTATATTACTATTGCTTTCTATTTTGATTTTTTATTCATACAAAAAATACAAAATTTACTGTTATGCAGACTACTACATTATTATAAAAATGGTATAAATAATATCAGTGCACTAGTGAAAGAATATTAGACTCCCAGTTGATGTGTATTGGACATGTGGTGTGATTTGCTTACTCTCGAACATTGGTAAAAATCGAAGATTTCCGCTACTTTGAGCTCAATTTCAAGGTTGTTTTCATCATGAAACTAATCAAAATCATCTCTATTTCTGCAATATGTCTTTCCATTTTATCACCTGAGACCATGAAAACGAGAATACAATGATAAATACTATATGAAAATACAGTGGACCCCCGGTTATCAATATTTTTTCATTCCAGAAGTATGTTCAGGTGCCAGTACTGACCGAATTTGTTCCCATAAGGAATATTGTGAAGTAGATTAGTCCATTTCAGACCCCCAAACATACACATACAAATGCACTTACATAAATACACTTACATAATTGGTTGCATTGGGAGGTGATCGTTAAGCGGGGGTCCACTGTACACCTCAAAGTCGGCATTTTAATCCAAAAAAAAAAAAGGGTCAGTTTTTTTTTTCTCATTATGCACTGCGTGCTGCAGGATTTTTTTTATGTAGTGCACACTGACCACACAGACCTATTCTCTCACACATGGGCCTACCATTTTTATCCTGCTTGATCTGAAGCCACTAGAATTATTGAGTACACCTACCATCCGACTTATGACCTCCTCGACATACGACCATTCGACTTACGACCGTGTTTTCTATGCCAAATTTCTGGGAAATAAACAACTGTTTGTGTTGTACACAGTGTTTATCCTAAACCTTACAATATAAAATGCAGTACTAACAGCATAAAAAGTAAAGTAAAAAATAAACAAAAAAAAAAATGTCATTACAAAATTAATACTAATAAAATAAGGTCGACTACAACAATTCGATCGATAGTTTCGAACCAGAGTAAGTTCGATCTTACCTTCCATTTCGTTACGAATCAGATTATATCAACCAAACTCGGTCAAAAACTCGGCACTACATGCCTGTAACATCGTGATGGCTACCATAAATTATAACACAACCAAAACGTCAAAGGGTTAAGACACAAACCCATGCACATTACATGCATGAAGCATCGGTGTTTGTGCTTATCTCATTTGATACGCAAGAATGTAAGCTTGCGACATGTGTAAATTATTGAAGCTGCACATAAGGGTATGAGAATACGTTAAGTAATTAATATTTAATGAATTCATGCACTACTACCAACCATATTTAATATCTGGAAGAGTAATGGAGCTTTCAGCAACATTTGTTGATATTATAATTTTTCGAAAACCAGATGGAGGCATAGTGAAGACAGACTGCTGCTCCTCTTGAGTGATGGTAGAATGAAGTGGAAACAGTAGCCATCTGAAGGATTTATAAAAATAGTGTTAAGATACTGGTGAGCTTTGCTTCCAAGGCACATTATAATACAACCCAGAAGTCTTCCCCTGTTAAATCACATGCATTTAAACTTCACACACATCTAGCACACAATCAATTACTCAAAGCACCCTACTTTCAAAGGAGAGAAGCGGTATAAAATTCCAACATGATGGACATACAAATGCTGTGATATGTGATCCTGTAATGGCAAAGTTTTGCTCCACACAGTGTGGTTTATCAGGGTGATATGCTTGTGGTTTGATAAACCCCACAATGTAGCAAAATGTTGTCAATAAAGAATCACATTACACTGAACATGTTTCTTAACCCACCCTACTCTCAAATTCTACTTAACCCTTTCAATGTCAGTCACATAGCACTACATCATGGAGGCCAGGGTGACTCATGTAGGTCTACAGCACGAGCTCAGCTCACTCAGATAAGTTGAGAGCAGTAAATTTTGGCCTAGATGTGGAGAATGGGTCTGGGCACCAAGTGTGCACAGTACATAAAAAAATTCTGTTCCACATGTTGGGGGAAAAACAAAAGTGCGTATAGTTTAAAATAGCAACTTTGAGGAATTTTCTCACATGGTGTGCATGGTTTTACTGGCTGTTTCTTGGTTTTATTTGATGGAGTGAAAGACATACTACAGAAATAGATATAAGTTTGATTGGTTACAGGACTGCAGTAGCTTGAAACTGAGCTCAAAGAAGCAGTAATATTCAACTTTTGCTGATATTCCAGCATATGGGAAGGCTCCCCTACAACCCCAGTCTATCTTATGGGTTTTTAGCCCATAAACGGTCCAAGGGCCAAACGTATATATAAGTTCTTACCGCTAGTGCCCCAAACGCATATAAACGTTTTATTTTTCCTGTCTTCAAATATGGCACAATTGGCCTGAGATGCCTTGTCAGCATAGAATGGGTCATAATACTCAGAGTGCACTGTATTAACCCTTAAACGGTCCAAACAAATCGACATTCAAATTCGTATTGCTACAAAAGTAGATCTACTTTTTTTTATCATATTTTCATATGTAACAAAAAAAAAAAATGTAGATAAAAGTTTTTTTACACATTTTCAAATGTAAAACTAAAAAGAAGATCTACATTTTTTTTACATACTTTCAGATGTTGAAAAAACGTATATATACGTTTGGACCATTTAAGGGTTAAAAAAGTCTGGGACTACTTAGTACCTTGTGGGAGCATCAGTTCAAATGAGCGCCAGCTAGAGCAAACAAGCACAGCAAACACCTAGGATTCACTGATTTCATGTAGTATTAACTCTCCTATTTTAAGTTAGTTTAGTTTAATATGTTTATTATGCACCCCATACCCATCCTGTGGGCGGTAGTCAAAAGATTACAGAGGTACATAATCTTTTGACTACCGCCCACAGGATGGGAAGTAATGTTGACCCAGAGTTTAGTGGCTTTGAGGCGGATGTGACCATAAGTGGTCAAGGAAATATCAAAAAACCTCAGTAATAACCCATGTGCAACACCCTTTCAGAATGTCTTATAACCTATGCCCTGAGTAAAGAGAAACAATTCTGTAACATAATACTTGTTCAGCAGACTGGCTGGCTGACTGATTGATGGCTGGCTGGCTGGCTGGCTGGCTGATGATTGGCTGGCTGGCTGGCCAGCTGCATGGCTGGCCGGCTGCCTGGTTCCGTTTGTCTGCGTCTATGTCTCTGTCTGTCTGTCTCTGTCTTTGTCTCTATCTCTATCTCTGTCTGTCTCTCTCTGTCTATTTGTGTGTCCCTGTGTCTGTCTCTGTGTCTGTCTATCTGTTTCTGTCTCTGTCTGTGTGTCTGTCACTGTCTGCATAAATACAAGTATATGTAGTGTAAATTACCTAGGGTAACCCAAAAAATCCAGACAAAGTGCTATACTCTGCTTGAAGATACGAGTAAACGTGATGATGAAGTCTTGTGGCTCTCTCTGAGACAGAGCTAGATGGATATACAGATAGACAGGGAGCTTGACAAATAGACAGACAGACATGGTTTGTGTACAAGCGAAAAAGTGAGGGCCAATGCTCATCAAATGTCACCTCTAATCTCATCTTGTCAAGTCTTATCACTGCACCCTCGCATATGCTTATCAAATTTGAGCTCTTATCTAATATTATCTCATCATGTCTCTGTCAGGGGTGGACTGAGGCTTGGTTTTTATGCTTCAAGGCGGCGGCGGCGGCTGCTGCTGCTGCTGCTGCTGCTATTTCTTCTTCTTCTTCTTCTCTTTCTGCTCCTCCTCCTGCTCCTCCTCCTCCTCTTCCTCTTCCTACTCCTCCTAAACATTGCTGGGACCTATAAATACTTTGTATATATTCCGAGACAATAGTAAATGGCCAAGGCAGGTGTAAATGTCCACCTGTCAGTGTGTTTGTGACAATCTGAGTACAATTTCAGTGCCTAATATTAGTGTCAGAACAAAGATTGGTTATGAAATTACAAGAACTACAATAAATTGTAATTACCAGAACATAAAAATTATATAAAATATTATGAAAAAATGGAGAAAAAGGTATATCTCAACACTTCTGCAAGCGGCAGGGCTCGCATCCAGTGCCAACTTCTTGGCGTCATATCCTTCATATCCTTCCTTCATATCCCTAAATTTTTTTTTATCCTATAACACCTAGAAAAATGTGCTCCTTATTTTCATTAAAAAAAAAAAAAAAAAAAAAAAAAAATTATTTTTCAAAATATTCGGGGCACTGGGGTAGTGAACGTATATACAGTAGCCCCCCACTTACATGGCAGGTTATGTTCCAGGCTACCACCATAAAGCGGAAATCGCCGTAAAGTGGAACACCCTTTTTTTTTCTCCTTATCAATGCATACAAATACTAGATAACAAGTTTACACTAACATATATTAAGTTAGCAATAGAATTAGGCATCAAAAAACAATAAAAAAGTACAATACGTACATATTGCACTCATTACTTACCTTAAAATATTTATAGTCTTAATCTAGGGTGAGACAAGTAGTATTTATTGTAAGAAATCAAGTGTGGTATGTATGGTAGTCAGCCAGGCTACCATACCAGGCCACATAATATTCTATTACATTTAAGCATCCCAGAGCAATAAAATGCATATACAGTTTACTCATTATTTACCTTAAAATATTTGTAGTCTGAATCGAGGGTGAAATGAGTAGTACTTATTGTAAAAAATCAAGTGCGGTATGTATGGTAGTCAGCCGGGCTACGGTACCAGGCCATTCCACCCACACGTACTATTCTATGATATTTAAGCATCCCAGAGTGATAAAATGCATATACAGTTCACTCATTACTTACCTTAAAATATTTGTAGTCTTAATGTAGGGTCAGAGTGAGTAAACGAGATAAAACAAATAAATGAGAGAGAGAGAGAGAGAGAATGAGTACACGAAGGAGGACAGGCACAGAGTTATGTAAACAAACCAGGCGAACGTAAGTTTTGTAAACAAAGTGTACACGTCTGGTTTGTGTACAAGTTACACTATGTACAAGTTGTCTCTACATTGATACGGTAGAATAAATAAAGAAGAACACTCCCATTCTCATGTAACACCATTTTTAGAAGAAATGACGCTCTGAGTGAAGGCAGTGGAAATAAGTCACTCTGACTTTTGTGGGTTATCCTAGGTTCTCTACATATATGCTGTTATGTATGATAATCTATGTAACTGTATTTGTGTATACCTGAATAAACTTACATACGAGAGGAATAATTTTCTATAGTTATCCCCAGTAACACATTTTCTCTTATGTTAGACTAGAGAAAATGCTATTCTTGCCATCACTTGTACAAGTTATCTGGCTACGACATCTCATATTTATGTTTATTTATTCTATTGTGGGGTGTATTCATCATATTTTTATGTTATGTATCGTGTTTATTATATAATTTTTAAAAAAATTTCATGGATGGATTAATGAAAATGTGTATACAGTGGACCCCCGCATAACGCTATTAATCCATTCCTGAGAGCTCAATGTTATGCGAAATTATCGTTATGCAAATTAATTTTCCCCATAAGAAATAATGGAAATCAAATCCGTGCAACACACCCAAAAGTATGGAAAAAAAAAAAAAATTTACCACATGCAATATTAATTTTAATGCACACAAACTTAAGAAAACATGCACAGTTACATGACACTTACCTTTATTGAAGATGTGGTGATGATTGATGGGATGGGAGAGGGGAGACTGGATGGTTTTAGTGTTTAGAAGGGGAATCCCCTTCCATTAGGACTTGAGGTGTCAAGTCCTTTTCCGGGGTTGCTTCCCTTCTTTTATTGCCACTAGGTCCAGCTTCAGAGTCACTGGACTTCTGTCGCACAACATATCTGTCCATAGTGGCCTGTACCTCTCATTCCTTTATGACTTTCCTAAAGTGTTTCACAACAGTGTCAGTGTAATAGTCACCAGCATGGCTTGCAATAGCTGTCTGAGGGTGATTTTCATCCATGAAGGTTTGCACTTCAAGCCACTTTGCACACATTTCCTTAATCTTTGAAGTAGGCAGCTTCTTGAATTTCTCTCTCCCCTCCTACGAAGCAATTTCCTCAGGTGTGGCCTCTTGCTGTTGAAGTTGATCTAGCAGCTCAACAGTGGTTAGTTCTTCATTGTCCTCCTCCACCAACTCTTCCACATCCTCCCCACTAACCTCCATCCCCAAGGACTTCCCCAATGCCACAACTGATTCCTCAACTGGCATAGGATACTCAGGGTTAGCCTCAAATCCTTCAAAATCCCTTTGATCTACATATTCTGGCCACAGTTTCTTCAAAGCAGAGTTCAAGGTCCTCTTAGTCACTCCCTCCCAAGCCTTGCCTATAAGGTTTACACAACTGAGTTTCTGAGGTCACTACAAAGCACCTTTCAAACAGAGCTTTTGTGTACAGTTTTTTGAAGTTTGCAATGACCTGCTGGTCCATGGGCTGCAGGAGAGGAGTGGTATTAGGAGGC